ACCATTTTATTTTATTTCTTTTTAGTCTTTTCCTATGCATATAGTTTCTATAGCTGTAATTCCGATGTATAAATAATATTGTATTACACATTTTCACTTAATATTTTGTAATAATCAGTACCTAATATAGTTGTTTAAGAAGTGGTTGTTGAATGAATGAGCATTATATTGCAAGAATTTTTCCACTGTCTTTCTTCCTATAAATTTTAATATCTGTATAATAGTCCGTGAAATAGATGTAGTATAATTTATTTAATCATTTGCTTATGTTTGGACATTTTATAGTTTTTTAAAGTTTTTGCTAAATTAATAGGGCTGCAATTAACATTTTTGTGAATGGAGCTTGCTCTCTACCCTCTGCCTCCTGGAATGATAGAAGTATACTGATACTGAGTATAGGGATATGAAAATTTGTATGGTTCTTGATACATACTGTTTTTCAAAAGGATTATACCCATTTGTAGTGTTATTGATGACAAATGAGAGTGGTTTCATCTTTACAAGTTTTTCTAGCTCATATCTGTGACTTCTGTTTTCTTGTTCTGGGTTTCTTTCAGATTCTTGTCTTTTACTTTTTGCGATGTCTCCTGGCTTTTGTGAGCTGTATTTGTGAACTTTACTTTTACAAGTGAGTATAAAAGCTTTGCTTCTAAAAGTGCTATGAGGAAGCCCAGTTTAGCTTAGATTATCTTTCTTAATGGTGTAGGGGCAGTGATTAGAAATAAAAAACACGTTCCTTCTAGCTCTTGATATTATATCTGAAGTGTGACTTCTTATTTGAAACCAACAGTTGAAGAGGAATACTTCTCATTATCTTTTTCTTCCCTGAGGTTCATAAATACTATACCCTCATATCATTAGTTTTAATTCTATTAATATTAATACATATTTAACTGATCTTTACTTGGTAGGATTTAGTAGAACCTTATTTTTGGTCTTAGGATATAGGATCATGATTTACCTCTACCCTAGAACTTAGCTGATGGGACTTAGCTGATAGAACAGTGGGACTCACTGCTCTTATTTGCAGCCAGTATATCATTCTTTTTCACAAAGTAGCTACTGGTTAATTGAATGTTAGTGGAACTATTAAGCATGTGAGTGTGAGTATTCCAGTAATAATAGCCACCTTTTTTACATAATATCTAGCAAACATCATAATGCTTTAATATGCATTGAAAGGTATTTGGACTTAATGACCATTATTAAGAATCTTCCCATAGCTAAAAATGTCAAATTGAAAAAAATCTTCAGACTTGACTCTGAGTAGAGCAGAGGGAAAAAAAACAAAGCCAGTGCTGCCTTTGAGGATTGTAACGTAAGTTGGTCTTTATGTGGGTTTCGGTCTGAATTCAAATCACCGTAATGGTTGCCCAAGCCCCAAGTTGACACTTTATTCATTTATTTATTTATATGAAGGATATGGAAATGCAGAGAATTTATTTTAAATTGTTCTGAGTTGGTAGTTCCCCTGGCATCTGGCAAAAATTTCGCTATAGAAGTAGACCCTAACCCAGGTGTCAAATAATTACCAGTGATAAAGTTCTAGTGAACAAGATATTATACTAAAATATTAGTCAGAAATCATAGAAGGGAACAAGACATTATGAGTGACAGCAGAAATAATAATCAACAGAAAGCTGACCTATAAAACTTTATTAGGAATTATTAAAATAATCTTTTATTTATTTATATGAAGGATATGGAAATGCAGAGAATTTATTTTAAATTGTTCTGAGTTGGTAGTTCCCCTGGCATCTGGCAAAAATTTCGCT